AATATCAGAGTGTCAGAATAAGAAATATAGCAGCTCTCTTTGGGAGTATCCATCAAGGGCAATGGAGGCTTTATGAGTCCCATAATACACCCGCTGTAATTGTGCAAGCCACCTTGCGGATTGAGCCAAACATTTTAGAACCAGCATATAAAGAGACCTTTATATGTAGATAGGTGCTTTAATTAAGACTTGCTAATTGTTTCTCTTGATACGTTGTCTTAGTAGTCATAGAAAGAAAGAATGAACTCTAACCAAAGATTCCCAAAAGAGAGAGTTCTGTTTAATCATTGCCTTGGTTTAAGCCATGCATTTAATTATTCTTTCAACACAAGATGTTTTTAAACCAACCCTGAAAGGCTTAATAGAGAGTAATAACATGCAGTTTATTAGTTAAATAAATTAACCAACTGATGGGGCCTGATATTATTCAAACATGAATTCTATATTATTTTTTCTTACTTAGTGTGATCAAGAATAGTCTTAATCAGGGTGATTTATTACCAAACAGTTGTTCAAAGCAGTGAAATCATGTGTACTACGGAGAATATTCTGCAAAGGTTAAAATAATTGTATTAAGGACTAAAGATCTGAAGATGGCAGCATTGGGTGAGATACCTAATATTACAGCCCGGCTGACAAAGGTTTTGTGTACCAGGCAGAATCTACTATAGCCATGGCACAGAGCAAGTATATCACAGCAGCTCCCCTCACAGCTTCCTACGGAGGGCTTTCCTAAATATACACTATTGATAAAAATTGGAACTTGGCAGATAAAACTTACATGTAGCCATCTGGAGAGTTTATATTTAGTTTATCTATATATATTCACAGAGCACAAGCTTTTCAAAGGCTGTAAGCACTTAAAAATTAAAAAGGGTTTTTGGGGCATGTATATGTGGTGATAGAATGACTTCTTTTTAATGTACTAATTCTAGCAGTTTTCTATTATCATTGATCTTAGGCATAAAGGAATAAATTCCAGGATATCTCTGATAAACAGGTGAATATAGTCTCTATTTCTATTAATGAATGGATGTAATTAGGATGTTAGAGATTAGCGAGGCATCTATTCCACACAATGTTATGTTCAAGTTGACTATAAAATGAGGACTGAAAGTAAAGATGGTGACAGAATATAGCAAGAGAGAAAACACATTATCTTACCTCAGTTAGTTAGGCTGCTGGTCCTGAATATGAGATGTCTCAGGTTGTCAGCTTCTCCCCCAATCAGGGCTGGCCCTCTGCATTGCCCCAGGGAAGCCATGGATGAGGCTGCTCCACTCAGCAAGGAACCATCATCATTGCCTTCTGTTCCCTCCCAGACTAATGACAAGGCCTTTCCTGTTTCCTAGGGATTAGTCCCTCATAACATTGCCATCCCCTTGTTTCACAGAAGTCAGAAGTTCCAGAAATAGTCAGTGGGCTGAAGCAGCAGCAGCATAGCTAGCTCCTTCAAGGTGGTAGGGCCAACTGCACTTGCCAGTCTACCAAGGGCTTCTGCTCTCTGTTAAAACAGTGGGTGGATCCATACCATATTATAACCTGCACTGGCTGGGTTCAGATCACATGACAAACCACCCCTGGTTTATAAGCCACCATGGCTCATTGTGGTGTGAGATCTCAGTCAATGCATCTCCATAGCCTTGGCAGCTGTCCATGGTCCTGACATCTTCTTAGTGAGATTTGACTTGCCTGAAGAGAAGAGAAGAGAAGAGAAGAGAAGAGAAGAGAAGAGAAGAGAAGAGAAGAAGAGAGACTTGCTCTGGCTAGAAGAAACCATGTTCGACTGCTTCCACCTGCCCTGTAGCTCCAAATCCTGGTAGACCAGGATTCTCTGCAACAAGAATATTGACATAAGAAAGAATAGGAATTAGCCCCATATAAATGCAGCTGCATAATTCCTCTTCTGAAAGCTGCTCATGTTAATTTATTCACCCATATTAATTAGTTGGCCTGTGCTTATAGACTACTTAATCCCAAGGCTCTAACCAACTTACAGTAAAATCCACAGTAAGCTATGAAAAACATCTACTGGGTGTTCACATGCAAAGTAAAGCAAGCAGTTCTTAGCCTCAGAAACCAGTTGCAAACACAGGAGGCCTGACTCCATGGAGTACCATGCAATGAATGCTGTGAAAACAAATGGTTTTACATTTATTCCCTCAAACGTCAGCTACTACCATTGCATTGCAATTGCTTTTGAAAGAGTGCCAGAAATGCTGAGAGACCAGGGAGGTGAGCTGCTCAAAGAGGGAGAAGGCCAATTTCTGCTTCACTAGTGCAAGCCCTTGTGTGAGTTCAAGCAGCTGTGTGGGTCTCTCCCTAAACCCACAGAAGAGGGTTAAAATCAGGAATAAACAGATTCTTGAATTCTACTTAGTGGCCATGATAGTGTGCTGTCAGGCAAGCCTTTGAAGTGCGTAAGCTGCTCCTTCATTGTGCAAATTCTTCAACAAACTGATTCAAGTAACTGTCTCCAGGTTTTCTAGAATTACCATACACTGGCTCTTATTCTAAGCTAGAAACTCAGGATTACAGATTGCATTTTACAACTCTCATTCAAAATATCTTTTTACATCTTCTCCTAGGAGTCTTCCAAAATTCATACAAAGTCAATATCCCTTGTAGAGTAGTTATTTCCATGGCTGCAGCTACAATTTCTCCCACAGTAAGAAATGGCTAGGAGGAAAATAGCATTGATAAGGTGGCTGTATCTGAAACTATGTTCTAGATTTCTGTTGAAATAGCTGAGCTGGATTTTTTAAAAGCATTTGTTCATGCATCTGTCCATGAAAAATGGATGCATGGTTATCCCATGACTGGGGATAACCAGTCTGCTGACTATGTTCACAGACAATACCAAAGTGAGGGTGGTGGCCACAACTGAGGAGGAGGTAATCTAGATCCAGAAGGATCTGGTCAGGCTGTGGAAGTGGGCAGGGGACAACAGGTTGGCATTCAATGTGGATAAGTTCAAGGTCTTGCACTTGGGACAATGGAATAGGTGTCACAGGTACAGGATGGGGACAAGTGGCTGGAAAGCAGCACTTGTGAAAAGGATCTCAGGGTACTTGTTGGCAACAGGCTGAACATGAGCCAGCAGTGTGATGAGGCAGTTAAGAAGGCAAATGCCACTCTTGGATGTATAGCCTGAAACATGACTTACAGATCTAGGGAGGTGTTGATACCACTCTACTCGACTCTGATGTGCCCACAACTGGAGTACTGCACCCAGTTCTGGGCTTCACATTATAGGAGAGACATAGCTAGGTTAGAATTGGTTCAGTTCAGGGTCACAAGAATGATAGTTGGGGTGGGAGGGATGACATATGAGCAGAGATTGAGGGAACTTGGTCTTTTCAGCCTGGAAAATATGAGACTCTTTTAGCAACTCATAGGCATGTGAGGGGATGTCGTGTGGAGGAGGGCCATGACCTGTTTTTCGCTGGAGTGGAGGGCAGGAAGTGTTCTAGCGGAGCAAAGCTCAAGGAACCAGGCTTCAGGTTGGATGTCAGGAAGTACTTCCCGATGGAAGCATCCTATTCCTAGGATATGGAAAGGGCTTCCAAGGGAGGTGGTTGAGGACCCATCAGTGAGGGTATTCAAGAAAAGATTGGACAACCACAGGTTGGGGATTACATGAGCAGAGCCGCCTGGAGCTGGAGGTCAAACTAGATGGCCCCTTCTGACTCGCTTTGTTTCTATGTTTCTGTGAAAAAGTTAAGTGTTGAAAGTATGTAAGACAATGCTGTGCAATATTGTAACAGATCCATCTTTGCACCCTTCAAATAAGTCAGTTTTAAACTGGACAAAGATGAGAATGAGAAGTCTAAAGTTCTTGCTAATTTCAAAATATTGACCAGGACTAAGTGAGCAGGGATGGAAAAGTGTCACAGGGGAATTGCTCAACTGCAGGTCATTTCTGAATGGTTACCTCCTCCAGAATAAACTTACCTGTGCAGAGGCCCTCTTCAGAGATCCTTTTATGTATGCCTCTGCCCAGTAAGGCAGGTGCTGATACGAGAGAGAGAGATTGATTGATTCTGGTTGTGCCTCCCTATCTCCTGGTGTTTGTCATCATGCCTTTTAGAGGCGAAGGGATCTATATTTGCCCAGACCTTTTCAAGCCTGAGTTGGAGCACTGGATATGTTTCTACTCTACCACTGAGATGTCATGTCTTTACTGTTTTTCTGCTGTTCTTTCGGTTCGATATTCTCCAGCTCAAACAATATCAATAACATCCTGCTCTGTTTTCCCCTGTTTTACAACTGTTTTTCTTGAAGAGAAGGCAGGGGTTACTGTTTTTCTGCAGGTTTACTTTTAAAATTGTGTTCTTAGCATTCATTGTTCAACTTGTTATTTTAAAACACGGCTTGCATGTTTGGTTTATTACCGTGGAAATAGCGATACTGAAGGGCAGTGTATGTTTGCATATACCAGTAGATAAAATATGTAAAATCGCTCTTTTTCATAATTTCTTTTATTTTGTTTCAATCAGAACCCCAGGGGCTGTTTCAAATTACTCACATGTTTATTATGAGGTTCATTATACTGGCTGCTGTGAATGATAGATACAGGCCCCATGCGGCTTCTGTTTGTTGATTCTGTGTGTGGTGGTGGTGGTGGTGGGGGTGGTGGAGAAGGGTGGGAGGGAAGGGAGAAAAGGCTTAATAATTTGACGTTGTCAAGCAAGCAGGGATGAATGTCTTAAGGATAACTGCTTCCTTTCAGGCATCATGGTGATTTTTATAATAATTATTCCTAAATAGATTTATGAAGGAACCAAGGGAAATAAATCAGAATGTTCCTGATATTGTCCCATGTAGGGAAATTACATTTAAAGTACTGATCCATGGATGTCCTTGATTGAACTTATTTAAAAAATCATGAAATTCCGAAGCGGCAAAACCAAGTGAATGACCTGATTTCATGCCTGCTTTGGACTTGTACATGCACCCATGTTTATGCTCCTCTGTTCTTCCCCCCTATGTTTTAATAGTGCTATTTTTTCACCATTGAATTTGGCCTTTGTAAGCAAGATGGGCAGCTACGGGCTTATGGAGCTGGTCTTCTGTCTTCCATTGGAGAACTCAAGGTATGAATGTAGACAGTAAATATCCATATCTCTGAATCATTCATGTATAGAAATCAGATCTGTCTTATGCTTTTCAGATTTGATTTCTGTGGGATGGACATTTAAATGTATTCAAATATACCTTCCTCAAGTAAAAGCCTTTTCATTTTCAATTCCAAATAAACTTTGCAATTGTTTTCTGACAAGGAATTATCCTTTTAAAGAAGTAACACCAACAAATGCAAAGAAGTATATTTGGAATGGAAACAGTGCTGTTAAATAGTGTTCCTAAGCATTTTCACATGTGTGTATGCAGCAAAAATAATTTCCTTACTAGACCCAAATGTGCCCAGCCTGTGACAATATCTCAGTCTAGTCAAGAGAATCTTTCTCCCTGCTCATCTTCTGTAGCAAGTCCTGGAATTTGAGTTGCAGAGAATGTACAAATTGGCTGTTTCAATGAACGGATCATGCTACAAACCAGAATTCATTTTCCTTGGCTGCAATCCTATGCTCATTCAGTTCCCAGTGACACCCACTGAACTCAAGTCAAGCTTATTTCCAAATGAACATGCAAAGGACTGTGCTGTACAAGCTGCATCTTGTTCAGTTCAATCGTACATCACACTGGTTAAGATATGCCAGCCATAGTCCTGTGCAAGTTTATTTGGAACCAGGTCCCACTGAACTGTGACCACACATTTCCCCCTGTAAGTGTTCATAGGATTACAGCAGGGGTGCAACACCCCACATGTGTTGCCCCTGTGGACTGGGGGGCCATACCTGTGTGGATGGGTCCACACATGCACACACATATTTTATGCAGACTTGTAATATTGGCAGGTGGGGTCCTATAGTTATTGACCATCCATCTAAAGTGTTAATAGTTGCAGCTTTAGATAGATGACAACTGATGTTAAGATGGCCAGTTCAGTGTTATAGGTCTTCCTAAAATCTACAGTAGCCTCTGACTTCATATAAGTAATCAGTTGTTTGTTTCTCTAATATTGGAAGAAAATAGACCAGCCTTCTCTACCTGGTGCTGTCTAGGTTTGTTGGACTTAATTGTTGGACTTAAATCCCCTTAATTCCCAGCTACCATGGCTGGGTGGGTGGGGGAACCAACTTGGGGAAGGCCTGAAATAAATTTTATATTTATATTTTATTTATATTGCGATTTATATCCTGCCTTTTTCCTACAAAGGGCTCAAGGCAGCACACATCATCTCTCCTCCTCCATCTTATCCCCACAACAACAACCCTGTGAGGTAGGTTGGGCTGAGAGTCTGTGACTGGCCCAAAGTCACCCAGTTGGCTCCATGGCTGAATGGGGGCTAGAACCCAGATCACCTGAGTCCCAGTCCCATGCTCTTAACCACTACACAATGGTGCTGAGCCACTCCTTACCATGTGAAACAGGAGCTGTTCATTAGAAAACATCACTCAATAGGTGTGCATTGTTTTTCTATTTCTAATGCATTTCTACGTATACAGAGTACAGTATTCCAGCACTGAATGCCTCCAGAGGTCAGAGTTCCTATATTTTAACCATATATTGTAATTTTAAGATATGGCCTAAGACAGGGGTGTGCAGAAAGCACATCTCTAGATGTTTTGGGTTCCAACTGTCAGTGTTGCTCACAATTTCCCATCCTGGAAGGTAAAATCCAAAATATCTGGAGATCTACTTTCTGCTGACTCGGGGCCTAAAAAACACTGAAGTCAATAGAAACATTCTCCTATACTGTGTGTTTATCTCTGTTACCTTATCATATTTCATGGAGACATAGATTTCCAGTTGAGTGATCCTGCATCTTTTCTTGTCGAAAAATACTCACACAACTAAAACATTTGCTGAAATGAGATAAAACTAGCATGGCCTTGATTTAACCTCAGGTCCCCTAAGTCCATAAAATGAAAGTTTTCCAACAGGACAACAACACTGGTTAAAAGCTAAAGCCTGATCCTTGTATAGATTTATGGCTAGAGTCTCCTTCATTCACTCTAACCAGTATATAACATCTATTAATGTCACAAAACCTTTGTAGTAACATCAGTGAACATTATCTGAAAATGCCTGCTCTCATGAAGAATCTGATCATTTTAAGTGGGTGATTGCCAAAGCGTTTGCTTTGTTGCACCCTTTGCTAACTGAAGTACTCGTATTAAATCTCTGGTGATCAATGTGTCTGATTGCAAGGCCAGCAGCATGGATAGGCAAGGTTCGATTCTGGCGAGGGACCTTCACCCCACAGAGGTCTTCTGATGAGATCATTCTCCTCCTCTTCACCTTGGAAATCTGCTGATTCGCTGGCTTGGTCCAGATAATAGGGGTGGGATGAGTAGCGAGCAGCAGATGCCCTGGCTCTCTGTTGGTCAAGCCAGCTCATTGTACCAACGCTGAGAGGCTGAGAGCAATGCAGGTGAGGACAATGGTGATGAGAAGCTGCGCTTCCGCGGAAGGATGCCTATCCCAGAGCACTCAAAAACTTGGAACTGGTACCGGCTTGGAGCAAAAAGAGCTTGCAAATACACATTTTAATGGGTTCGTTGTTTTCTGAATGAGCATGAGAAATAGAGTGATAATGAGAATCAAAACATTCCATGGCAGTTTAGAGAGGACCAGCGAGTTCTAGGGAATCTCTTTAAGGAATTGATACTTAGAACAGTAGCCATTCTGAGATTAATAATAACGGAAAAAGTACCTTTCTGTTGGGTAAGGTTTGCTTTACAGTCTTCAAGAATACAGTGTCATCATTTTACTAAATTTATAGCAGACGTTATTATAGAAGACATGGCCATATGATGCTATAATTATGCCTGGAAGTTGAAAGCATACGATGTATTAAATCCTAGTGTTCTTTGAGGTAATAAAATCATTTAAACCACAACTTTTTAAACCTCTTGACACTGCTACTCCAGGTTACAAATTCCGTCTTGGTCTAGCAATCATTTTGCCAATATTGTTAAAAAGGAAATTGGATTGTGTTTTCTGGGGAAACGAGGACTGCTCCACAGTCATTTCCAGAGTTATTTTTAAATTTAAGACATTTATATCCAGTCTTTCATATGCATGTGTGCACACACACACACGCGCATGCACACACACGTATCCCAGCATACTTTATAGTACAAATTAAAGCAATAAATACAGTAATATAGAAACAAGTACAGTAAAGATGCTTAAAAATGGCAAGTAGAGCTACATAGTGAAATCTGTTATTAAAAAGTGGCTATTTATTTATTTGACTTGTATGCCGCCTCATTAGCCATAAGACTCTAAAAACAAGGATAGATAAAACAAGGAACTAATAGTAAAACCAAAGAGGTAATTAAACAGCACTGGAGAAGAGCCTGGCACCTAAAGGGAAGCAGAGTGGATGACGGATATCCTATGTGGTGGGAGGGAGTTTAATAAATGTGATACCACCACTGAAAAAGTTCCACTTGTCACCACCTGCCTGGAGAAGGGTCTCAGACTGCAAATATCCTTAGGCATTCCTGCAGTCCTTCAGACTGAAAGAGGCAGAAGTAGATCACAAGCTGACCTAGATGCCAGCCACCAGCTTTTCTGGCTGTTGTACATCCTGGCAGAAACCTATGGGAGTTGGAGTCCAAAACATCTCGAGATCCACTTTCACCTCGCACTTGCCAGCAGCAGGGCCTCAACCCAGACCTGAAAAACTGAGATATGGGATCCCAGAGAGAAAGAACAGAGCTTCCTCCCCCTGCCGAAGACATTCTTAGGCTGCGGGCTGGCCCTACCTACTCTTGCTTGCTTGCGTTTACTTCTTAGCAGCAGCTGTAATAAAAAAATGATTGGGCTGTGAGTGTCTCTCCATTCTGTACTGTTTCTTTTAGGGCAAGACAGGGAACCCACAGCGACTCTAGCAAATTGTTCCATAGAAGGAAAATAAAAGTTGCTCTTCTGGAGATGTGATTTATGTTGAGAACAGACACCTGTCATGGGTGACTGATGCTTAGCTCTCTGGGGTATGCTACCACATCTGAATTCAATACTAAACACATTTTAGATGTACCAATATTTTTTGGCACTTTGTTATCCATCTTTCCTGTATAGCCATCTAGGAGTGAATCTTTCTGCTGTTAAGCTTCACCATTTCCTTAGTCTGCAGGGAACACTGTTCTGCAGGTACTCTGCTCTAGAAATATATTAGCACAAGAGAAAAATCCAAAGGTAAGCTTAGCCTGAGATGTGCAACACTGGCTTAGTATTCCTGAAATGTTATCTAGAATTACTGTTTCTTTGAAATAATTGAACCTAAATAATAGAATCCACTCTATATTTGTGTCTGAAGACCTCTTAATATAGAATTACTTATAAAGTCATCCATAGATTTTCAACAAAGAATAATGGAGCAGAAATCTTTACAATATCAGATTCCAAAATTTAAGTACTTTTCAAGAACATGCATGCACTGTCATGGGTGCAAAACTTTCCAGATGAATTCCTGGATGTATCAGTGAAGACTTTGTATGTTTTAGAACATTCTTTCCTCAATTTGGTGTCCTCCAGGGCTTCAATTCCCATCAGCCCCAGCCAGGAAGTAACAGTCCAAAACATCTGGAGAAGACTCAGTTGGGGGAAGCTGTTCTAGCATTTGGGGTAGTACACGAGGTTCTATTTTGGTCTGTTGTGCCTTACACAGAGCATTTTTCTCTAAGCCCGATCACTTTTAGATCTAAAATTGACCAAAGTTGTCCTCTTGGTAAAACAACATGTGTACCAAACATCCTTCAAGGTAGGTTGGCATGTTTTCTTCACAGATACATCTGCTTGGTGCTTTTTTCAAGAATCAGCATGAAGCAAAGACAGTCCTTGGATGGTCAATGATGGAGAGGGGAACCACAGAACCCAAAACATTCTTCACCACTCAGTCAGTGCCAAATTTTTCCCTTGTTTGAGTATTCCTAACACGACCTGGTTTCCTGCTAGTGCCATTTTTGGCCAGTCCAACCCTTTTTCAAGCAAGGGAATATAGAGTAAGGTATTATCTCTCCTTTGTTTTGTCACAAAGAAGTTGATTGAACACAAATAGCTCTTCTCTGTCTCCTCCGTCCATATACTGTACATCCCAGCATGCATATGTGCCTTTTATTAGGATACAATAAGCAGTGATCACCATACTTTTAGACCTGATTGTATTGCCATGGTATAATATTTATTAATAACCTTCTCATTTCCTCTTCAGATTTGATGATTTTAATGCCTTCTGCGTACAGCTTAGAAATATCTCTTGACTGTTCTTGATTATGTGATCATTTCGCCATAGAGTTTTGAATAAACACTGATTTGCCCAATTCATGATGAAAGAACCCTCTGAATAAAACACGTGAAACTAGCAACTGTTTGAGAACATATTGCACTATGAAAACTGGGTGCATAGAAACACTTGAAAGTTCTGTAATATAATGTAACAGATGATCCGGTGTATTTTGCAGCATGCTCTGTCTGATAAAGCCAATGTGAAAACATTTGATCCAAAGACAACCTGTTTGCAAGAATGCCTTATCACAACTTTCCAGGAAGCATACTTTGTCTCAGAAAGTTTTGAAGAAGCAAAAGAAAAGATGAGGCAAGTTGTTTCCCTTGACCCTTAAAAACAACCCCCAAATCTAATTTTCTCTTATCTGTAGGGTGCAGAAATAGGAGTTAATTTTCTTTTTCTTTTTTTTTCTTTCAGGGACTTTGCAAAATCAATCAACCGTCCCTTTTCTGTATATTTCAACCCATACACCCAAAGCATTGAAATTCTGAAAGACACCAGAAGTATTGAAAATGTTGTCCAGGATCTTCGGAGTGACCTCAACACAGTGTGCGATGCTTTAAGCAAAATGAATAGATATTTGGGGATATGATCTCTTCAGTGCCATAGCTTTGTAGCATAGCTAACTCAGCACTGTTATGAGATGCAATTGCCTCTTCAGCACTGCCTGTTCTCTCTCTATTGCATGGCCGTTGCACTTGCTCAGTGTGTCATTCTATCTAGCTGTAGCTTCTGCTATGTCAGTGCTAATACGCAAATTCACATAGAAATGGAACATACATTATCTCCCTGTTTGGTTACATCTCTGTCTCATCACAAGGTGAGATTAGGAAGTTCACAGGGCAACTTAAAACCAATCAGATTTGCAAATCTTTCAATAAAATGATATATTAAAGCCAAAAAGCATTACAACTAATAGAAAAGAATAGCAGTTGTAACCGAAGGCTACAGTGTGACCTCCAAAATATAGTTTTACTAGTTTCTGAAGACTGAATGTCATTGGGGTGAAATGCCATAAAGTTGACACCACAACCAAAAAGCCTGTGCCTTTTGTGCCAGCCAAGTTGGTTTCAGACAATGCTGTTCCTTAACACAGGGCCTGGCTTGATGATCTTGGCCCAGGCTGAATTCATGTGGGTAAAGGTGTTCTAGGAGGTGCTCCATTGCCTAACTCTAATGGGCTCTAAAAGTTACAAAGTTACTGACCTGATCAGTGAAAGCCCTCCAAAATGTCCTGTCCATGACAGCTCCATTCAGGTCTTCCAAGTATGAGGCCATGGCTTCCATTATGGATTCAATTCGTCTCATATTTGGGCTTACTTTTTGTCTTTTGCTTTTGGCTTTTCCTGGCATGATTGTCTTCTCAAGTGAGTCTTGCTTTCTTATGATGTGTCCAAAGTGTGACAGCCTCAGTTTTGTCATTTTTGCTTCTAGGAAAAGCGCTGGCTTGATTTGATCTATGACCTACTTGCTCCTCTTTCTGGGCATTCACAAAGCTCTCCTCCAGCACCATGTTTTGAATGCATCAATTTTCTTCCTATTAGCTTTCTTCACTGTTCAGCTTTCACACCTATACATTGTGATTGGGAATATGATAGTCTGGATGATCATGATCTTAGTCTCCAATAAAATGTGCTTACACTTGATGATCTTTTCTAGTTCCTTCACTGCTGCCCTTCCAGGTCTTAGTCTTCTTTGAATTTCTTGGCTGCAGTCCTTGAACTGATGACTGAGCCGAGGTACGTGAAATCATTCACAAGAAGCTTACATTTGTTAACGAGCAGGCTGACACACTCTAGACCAGTTGTGGTTTCTGGATGTTCTTCACATGGACCATGCAAAGGGTATTACTGCAGGAACAGACTTCAAGGGATCAATGCCTTCTAGAACCATCTGGATCCCCAGAAGTGATAACATTCACTTGAGCCACCAGGGCTAGAGCTGAAACCTCAAGTCTAAAGCCCGAATCTAGAAAGTCATGCTCCTTCCCCAGGCCCCACCTCTTCCTCTCAACCAGTCCGCTTTCCTGGTAGTTTCCTGGTCCCCGCCCCCCCAGGCTTTCTCATTTCTAACAGGTTGGAAAACAATAAGAGCTTTAGGAAGCAACACTAGGTAAATTGTTGCCTGAGCATGCTAGGAGTTGCTGTCCTTTTTTTCAGTCTAAACTTGCCTAGGATTGTACCTTTAAGCTGACTGGGCTGTTTTTTTTCTTTTGCATTTTTGATCCTGCCTCTTTTGCCTTTGATCCACCTATCTTGATAGTTTTTTTGAAGCTGAATTCATGTCTTGGGCTGAAAGAGGTTCCACGCCCCTCTTCTCATCCTTCAGAGAAAGCACAACTTCATCTAGAGCAGGTAAACCAGAAACTGCCCAATATAACCAGTAATCCAGGTGAGAAAATATATGCTGGTGCTCAAAGGTTATTCTTCACTCGAGGGCTGCAGCATCAAGGGCTGGTTTGCAAGCAAGCAAGCCCTGGCCAAGCATCTCACCATTCCTCCGTCAATGCTCTGCAGTAGAGTCAGAGAGTCACCATGTTCTGAATAATCAGTGGATGATGGTTATAGATGTGCAAGGTCATACTGTTGCCCTCCACAAATGTGCTGCTGAAAATATCTTACTGGCCATTGATGGCTTCTTCAACATGAAGCCTCTTGGGGAAGACAGATAAAAGAAGCATCTCTTCTTTTTGATTAGCAATATACAGATTTTTCGACTGTTCAGCTACTTGAGGCCCGATAGATCTTTTTTTGGGGGGGTGGGTGAAGGACGTCTGCAGAGTTTTCATTTTCCTTGAAAATGAAGACGTATTTCTTCTTGCTCAGTGATGACTATTTTTCCTCCTCTATTTGTATCTTTTGATATCTCTTGTGACTCAACTGAATGGTTTATGTAACACTTGGAAGTGTAAGAACATCATAGATTTCAGTTAAATGGTCATTGGAGGATGTAGAAGATAGCATGCATAATGGACCAATATTTCAAAGCAGCCAAATAATTGTAAAGCACTGAAGTGCCTTTTCATTTTATATATATATATGAATATGATTTGGTTTCAGAGAGTCCTTTCTAGGAACAGAAGGGACTGAGATGCAGAAGGGGCACCTTCTGGAGGAAATTTCAGATTGCCAAAATGTCACCTCTCCTCCTCCTCTGGTGGGCTGGCTTCTATAGATTAGGGCTGGCATATGGAACTGGGGTTCAAAGGCACCCTCCTGGGGTCTTGGTCTGGCCCTGCGGAGTTCGCCACGTGCCCTGCAGCTTTTCCCAGCCATAGACTGAGTGCTGTTGTTCCACCTTGCATGCAGCTTCCCACCTTCTAAAATATAAAAATGCAACAAGAGCTTGAAGGCCGCACGGGTGATGTGCATGTTGGATGTCACCACCTCTGCATTTGGCACTGTGCACAGCTGGAATGCGGGCCCTGAAAGAGTCTTCAAAGGATATTCTTGCCCTCCTCCTAAAGAAGAAAGTGAAAGGGCATTTCAGTGGCAATCTATTGAACTCAGTTCAACGTGCTTTTCCCTAAATATGCCATCATTTATCTGTCTCATTTTCAGCTGAGTGATATGTGCTTGAAAGAAATATTACAGCATGATAATAAAAGTGATGCTTAATCAGGCATAATTTATCTCAACTAAGTAGCAGAGATATGATGTATTGTTTGGAAATTCCTCTTAAATTCATTGCCTAAATCAAGAGATATAACCAATGATAGCTGTGTGTGTGTGTTTGATTAGGTCTAAATGAAGAGAGCAACTCTGAGTACAAACAGCTTTTTAAAAAAAATCAAAATCTCAATTGCAATTAAAAGTGACAAATTAATCCCAAATTGCACTTGGCTGTAGAGAAACTGCAGATTCTAAATTAGCTATGGAAATCCTGACAGCATTTTCCCTGGCTTCCAAACTCTCTGAGTCCATTGTATCTTCCTTTCTGCAGGTTTCTAAATATGCCTAAATATGATGTTTATTACTGGGCCATTTTCAGCTCTCTGAATTAGAGAAGGCCAGTTTTCAGTGAAGAAGATTATGTTTCCTAACAAGTGACCTGACCAGGTTGGATTTCATCTTTTGGGGCTTCTCTGCCTGAGGAGTTTAAGCTGCAAGAGTTTAAGCAGCTGTTTTACTGATGTTTCTTTTTTCATTGTCACTGTGGGAGGAAAAATGTGCCCAGGTACCTGCTTTCCCTGGCAGGGGATACCTTTCTCTGCCTTTTCATATGTTCTAGTACCCAGCCACAAGGTGGCGCTGTGGTATAGCAGCACTGCTGCAGATTTGCCCCTTCGCACTAGGTGTTGCACTCTAAAACTAGACTTGCCTAGCTCTAAAAAAACCTGCTAAAAGGCTAAGGAAGCACAGGGGAGGCTCTGGACGATGACGACATGGTGAAAAAGCCCTGCAACCTTCTGTGGCTGAGAGAGCATGAGAACATAATAAATGGCCCATGTACAGAAGCCCCAAGTCACACCAGCTGTAGTTCTGTTCCTGAAATAGAAATGGTCTGGACAGGCCAAGTTAATAGAAGTGAAGTTTCAGTGTTGTATATCTTGAGCAGGGCTGGCCCTAGGAAATATACCAGTCTGGGCAAGAAATACCCCCGACCCTAAAATACAGCATATACCTTTCTTTTGTTATTATGTCTGATATTTATAGTGTTTATAATTCTTGATACTACTGCCTGAAGGTAAAGCCAATGTTCCCCCGATATTTATCTAGACCAATGACATCAAACAAGGAAGAGAGAAAGGCAATATTTTAAAGCTAATTAATGGAAATTCTGTCGTTAGCACCAAAATAGCCTGTGGAACATCCTTTTAAAAGATTAGAATCACTTAAGCTTTCAGTTGCCTTCACAAATACTGATTTACCTAGCTACATTCTGTGTCCTCTTCAGCTGGGCACCCAGGCCCATATGTAGCAGACCTACCCTTGAGAACAGTCCTCAGGGATGTGTCATTGCTATTTCTTGGAACTGCTTGTTCAGGGATAGTAACTATTCACATCATGTGCTGAATTTAAGCATAAAACAAATGAACAAAAATAAATGATACTAACATGGTCTTTTGACTGCTCTGGTTATCATAAATCTCTAAGAAGACTGGCAAGGCCGAAATCATCTGTGTAAGTTATTTGCTTGGCAGTCGCTTGAAATGCAACCATGAAGCAACTCCAGATGGTAGAGCACCTTTCCGATGACACCAATCATGACAATGCAAACTGCAAAGGTGGGAGAGAATAAAAGAGGATACTTTTGGTGCTATAGAAATTCCTGAATCGGTGTGGAGCCATTTCTGCCTGCTCCCCATTGTATGCCAAGCTGGCCTCCTGAAAGCAAGTCTACCGGGTGCCAGCTTAGGTGACTGGATGTCATCCTGCCCCACCTCTGATCCCCATGGCCCACCCATGGCAGGGGACTTCCATTTATATCCATTCTCCTACCCTTGGGGGAAAGGTCTGTAACTTCATATCAGCACACCTAATTTCACGCATCTCCAAGGAAAGATTCCAGTCTGAAATCCCCATGTGGACACCACTGATCAAGACTGACCAAGGATTTGTCATGGTTGCCATGTTCCTGCGAAAGCCACTGGATCAAGGTAGATGGAGACGTTTGCAGAGAACTGGCCCTGCACGTTTCACTCCCACCCGATGCAAGAGGTGCATCCAGCCATGTCTGTGGCACTGGAGGGCACCTTGGCGCGCATGTCTTGGGCTGCGTGCACCTTTGTTGGTGCCCGGGCAAATACATTCCCAGCCCAGGCATCCATTCGGCTCACCTGTGCAGATCAGCCAGGCTTCCCCACACGGCCAGGACAGCTTCCTGCTCTTTGGTGTGGGTGCTGCTTGCAGACGGGAGTGTGCTGAAACGGTTGCCTTTCTCAGGAGCACTGAGTTACATTTCTGATCATGTGCCCTACATTGCCATACGAGATGCACC